AGATTGAAGTCTTCAACAAAACTGGAGATATTAGATTTGAGTTCGAATAATTTGGTTGGGAATATTCCTTCTACGGTAAGGGAACTGGCTTCGCTCAAGGCATTATCTTTGGCATGGAATGGCTTTAATGGCTCTTTACCAATTCCAGGTAATACTTTCAGTTTGGTACAAAAAGAATAAACAAGGCTTAAATATATATACTAAAAGGCATGTACCAAATATATATAGCGATTAAATTGTAAGTTTTCTTTTCAAAAACAACAAATTTTAATTAGCATTGAATTATATATAATGTTTTCATGTAAATATTCCTCTAAATTTCTTCCTTTGCAGGTATATGTGAACTAAATAGACTTCAAGAGTTGGATCTTAACGGTAATAGTTTTGAGGGAATCATTCCCCAATGCCTAAACAATATGACTTCTCTTCGTCTCATTGATCTTGGAGGCAACCATTTTGAAGGCTCATTCAAATTTAGCTTACTTATGAATCACTCCAAGCTTAAGACAATCATGCTTACTTGTGATGGTGACAAATTGAAGATAGATGCGGAACATCTACATCAAAGCCCATTGTTTCAGTTAGAGACGTTAAAACTCTCTAACTGTAATCTGAAAAACACTCCTCAATTTCTCTTTTACCAGTATCGAATAAAAAGCAATTGAATCTCTCTTACAATACTTGAGTGGTATGTTCCCTACCTGGTTAGGCTGAAAACAACAACTGAGTTGGAACATTTAATCTAAGGGAAAACTCTTTTTCTGGTCAATTTCATCTCCCAGCAAATTCCCATGAGAGATATTCATTGGTTGACGTCTCCAGCAATCATTTCAGTGGGCCACTTCAAGATGACCTTTCGGAAAAATATTATCAAATGCATGTGGATTATTTGTCCAATAATTCATTTTGAAGGTGATCTCCCATCGTCAATTGTGTCACAAGCCAAGTTACAGGTATTGGATTGTCCTCTAACAATTTCTCAGGAGAAGTACCTAAGGAGTTACTTACATGGTGCACCAACTTGAGACTCTTGTGGTTATCACATAATAAATTTCATGGTGAAATATTTTCTTCCCATTTTAAATTGAGTCGGCTACGGTATCTAGAGTTGAGAAACAATCAATTCACAGGTAGTCTATCTCTACCAAACAATGTTGAACTTTCGTCATTAGAAGTTTTTGATATCAGCAACAACCGAATAGAAGGTGAAATTCCTAGTTGGATTGGTAATTTGACAAGCTTACAAATACTTTCTCTGAACAAGAATTTATTTAAAGGTCAGTTTCCTTGTAAAGAGAAACTTTTATCAATGGAATACTTGGACCTTTCTCACAACTTTTTCAAGGGACCCTTGCCTTATTTCTTTAATCAGAATTCTTTAAAGCAACTTAATTTGGAAGGGAACCAATTCTGGGGATCAATGCCAAGTGAACTTTTCAATTTCTCGGCTCTGAAGGTGTTGAATCTTAGAGATAACAACTTGTCTGGCAGTATTCCCTACAATATTAATGGAAACCTCCCTAGCTTGAAAGTCCTTTCATTAGGGAATAACTATCTGAAGGGTTTAATTCCGAAGTTGTTCTGTCAATTGACAAATATAAACACTTTGGATCTTTCCAACAACTGTTTCTCTGGGCCAATACCTCAATGTTTCTATAATATCACCTTTGGGAAGATCGAGGCAAAAAGAGCTATCCTCAATTCACCAGAATATTCTACTGATTTCTCTATTGCTCCACCTTATGAGATACATGGAAATCTCTTAAAATATATCTCTGTTGACCTTGAGCCGTCTTACGCTTTCAGAACACGATTTGAGTTTGATTTTGTCACTAAAAATAGGTTTGACGTTTACAAGGCTGGCTTTTTATATTTGATGTCCGGACTTGATTTGTCATGCAACAATCTAACAGGGAAAATCCCAGTAGCATTGGGGAACCTATCCTCAATTCATGCATTAAACTTGTCTCATAATCGATTAGCAGGAGCCATTCCAATTTCTCTTTCAAAGCTTGTTGAAATAGAAAGTTTGGACCTTTCCTACAACTATTTGAGTGGGGAAATCCCATCGGAGCTGACCAACCTTGTGCGTTTGGAAGTCTTCAATGTGTCACACAACAATTTATCTGGTAAAATTCCATCCACCAATCAATTTTCAACATTTGAAGAGAGTAGTTATGAAGAAAATCCATTGCTTTGTGGACGGCCATTAAATAAAAGCTGCACAAACCCTCCGACACCATACTTGCTAATTGTTCCTTCAGATGAAGCACAAGGGAAATGGTTTGAAGTTGATTTTATTGCCTTCTACGCAAGCTTTGGTGTAACATATCTCGTGTTCTTGTTGGGTTTCGTGACTGTTCTATTCATCAATCCTTTTTGGAGGAGAAAATGGTTCCATTTCGTCGAGAATTTCCTCTCTTCCAGCTATTATTTTGCTTATGCTAGTCTAGGCAAATTATGGAATTAACTATGTTTGTAATTTCCATAAATGCTTGTAATTTGTCATGACTCTTGAGTCTTTGTTTATGCTTACAAATAGTGGGGATTGTTCCAAGTTAGTTTTTCAGGTAAACAATCTCTTCCACAAAGATTTCCCAAGATCAAATTTAAACGTTGTCCACTTGACCTTTAAGAATCACATATTCAACAAATTTTGGCATATTTTCATTTAGTATTATTATATTATTAAAGGAAAACTTTTTTTACCCCATCCAATCAAGGGCGGAGCTAAATGAAACCCTCACTGGGAAAAAAAACTAACTCATGTATTTTCTAGATAAAGTTTAAAGAGTTTTCATTGTCACAACTAGTTTTTATGTTCCTTTCTAATCATTCTATAGTGTACGTCTGTTAAGCATTAAACTTAAAACCCAATTGACAGTAAGTGGAAGAACTCAACCTAAAATATAAGGCTATAGGAAATTGAAAATTTATTAGATAGGTGATAACCCACTTTAATAGGAGCCCATCACGTGTAGGCAAAGATGAAAAAAGTCTTTCACGTGATAAATTGAGAAAAAGCAATGGAAAAAAAATTTTGACTTTGATAACATATTAAGCATCTAACCTAAAACCAATTGACAGTAAGTGAAAGGGTCTAACCTAGATATAAAGTTATAGGAAATTGAAAATTTATTGGATGTGAGATAATCCACTATAACAATATCTAAATATCATTTTCTTAAATTGAAAAATGATTTGTACAAACTTTGATAGTATTTTCAAATAAAGGAATGTGTGTAGATATGTTTGATTATATACTATATATTAAATTTCAAGACATGCAAAAATAACAAGATGTCGGAGCTAAAAGTGTAAATAATACACTTGTACTTATAAGCTGTTCGAGTTCGACTCAAATAAAATTCGAATTCGATTCGATTATTATCGAATCGAACTTGAATTCGAGCAGCTCAATTTATGAAGTAAATCAAATTCAACTATCGTAATACTTCACTCCAACGACTTATGAGCTTAATCAAGTTTTTTTATTTAAATATATATTTTTATTATTTTAATTAAAATTTTATAATTTTACCCTTATATATATATATATATATATATATATAACCCTAAGCACTTTAACTCTTTTTCTCAAATCTCATTTGCTTTTCCTTTCCCTCAATCTCCCTTTCAACGATGTCTTTGTTCTCTCTTTTCCCATCCCATCCTAGCAGCCACCCTTTTCCTTTCTAGCACTCTTCCTTAATGCCTCATTTCAACATAACTGTTTGTAAATTGAGCATGTTGTATCTACATGCCTACTCTTACCTTCAATTAACATCAGTTTACATAGAAAAATCAAAAGCGTCAACTCCAAATATGAACTACTATTGCACATTTGAAGGTTGAGTGAGTAATTTTGCTAAACCTTTAGCTACACCCCTTGGCTAAAACATAGCTACTGAATGTTGTTTATTTTTACTTTAACTACTTAAAGGAAAAAAAAAAAAAAGAAAGTGTTTGAATAATATATGCCAATAATAGTGCTTGTTTTAACGCTTCTTTTTTTTGTTTACAATTTTAATATTGCCTTAGTGAAACTATTGTTATCTTGATATTAGAACTTTCGATTTTTTATGTTGAGGAATTTTTGGATTTGGTTGTTTGAATTTAATTGGTTGAGACTTCTAATTTTTTTATGTTTAGAAAAATTTTTAATTTGATGTTGAGTTTTTTTATATTGTTACGATATTATTTTGAAAATATCATTATTTATAAAAAAAACATCTCAATTTAAGTTTTAGTTTAAATTCCAAATCAACTAATTGTGTTTTACGATCAAGCATATTAATTAAATTTGTAAATTTTTATTAGGTAATAAGTTAATATCGAATGAGCTCGAATTTTATCTTGAGTCGAGTTTAAACGTGATAAATAAAACTCGATCAAATTTGAATCAAGTTTCAAACTTCAATATTTGAGTCGAGCTCAAACTCAAGCCCAAGTATTGTAATTTACTTACTCGGCTTGACTCAACTCGATTATGTCTTTAGTTGGAGCTTTAATATGTATTTTACTTTTATTTTATCTTCTATGTCTATTTGCAAAATTTTTCAATTCACTTTAACAAAAAAAAAAAACATAAAATTTCATTAGAAGTTAAATCGTTTCAAGATTTTGTTGTTATTGGTAACAAATTTTCTTAATTGGTTTCTTATGCATTTGTAGTTTTTTATAACATGAAGATAGTATTTTATGCTTCCAACCTAAGATTTATCTGATGTCTTACTCATAAAATTGGTGTTTATTTTTTTTTTATAATTTAATATATTTAAATTAAGCCCTACTAGATGAGAACTTTAGCCATCCCCTTCTCGTATCTTGCTTATCTTTTCACTTTCCTATTGAAAAGGCTCTTTTTCTTAAGAAAAGGTTGTATAAAACAATTATGCCACGTTAACGTATTTTTTTTATTGAAATATATCATTTAATTACATTATCAAAAAATGTTAATTATTTATTACATATTATATGTGATAATTAAATAATAAATATTTATTTTAATAAATTAATTAATTATTTTATAATAATTAATTAATTTTTTAATAATATTATTATATTACAAAATTTAAATGAAATATATAGATATATATATATATATATATACATATATATATATTGACCTGATATAATTGTCTTATGTAATATTTTCTCTTCACCAAAAGTCTTTCTCTTTTTGTCTAAGCTAGTGATTTTTTTTAGCGTTGTTTGGAAAAAAAAAAAAAACAGATGTCATCCACTCCTCCAATCTAAAAAAATGGTTTCTTTTTTTTTTTTTTTTTTTGCATAATTTCACTCTTTTACCATTCCTCGTTGAACCAAACTCTTCTACCTATAGATAATCATTTTTTTTTTTTTTGGAGGGGGGGCTTTCCTACTTCATGGCAGTGGCCTTTGATTTTCAAGTATAAAAAACAAGAAAAATTTTATAAAAAAAAAAAATTTAAGTGAAATTTCTTAAATTTTTATTAAAAATTTTTCAATAAAAACTAAAATCAAAATTAATAAACTGATAAAATTCAATTAGAGGATTAATACTATGTAGAAAAATTATTAAAACTATAGTTTATAATTCAAAATTATTGAGTATTTATTCAACAATAAAATTTTTTTCAAATTTTTTATTTAAAATATTTATCTAATTTCAAATTTTGCATACTTAATTTTGTAACAAATTTTTTTAATTTATCGATTTTAATTTTTGATTTTAATTTTTATTAAATCATTTCGAATAAAAAAATTTCACAAACTTTATTTAAAAAATTTCACTTAAATCTTTCCCTTAGAAAAAAAAAATCAAGGTAAAAGCGCCAAGGGATGAGCCAGCTTCAAAAAAAGACTAAAGTATTCAAGAAAAGAAAAGAGAGTTTGATATTTGAGAGCTAAAGAAATTGTTACTATAAATAATATAATAATTATAGAATTAAATACTATAAATAATTAGATTGTTGACTTGATTTACTGATTAAAAATAAAAAAAAAAACCTTAAAATTTTAATAAAAATCCAAAAAATAACAAAACTATGAAAATTTAATAAATATATAAAAAAATTAAAATTTTAAATTCAAAAAAAGAAAAATTTTCGTAATGTTTAAAAACCTTTTTACAATTTTTTAAAATTTTTAAATTGTTTTCAAAATATTTAATTTTTCTTATTTCCAATTTTTTAAAGTCAGTGAATCTTTTTTTATTTTAAGAAAATTTTTATTTTTATTAAAATTTTCATTTTATGAAATTTTCAAAAAAATTTTTAATTTTAGATTTTTATTAAAATTTTGAGTTTTTTTATTTTTTAAATGTTAATAAAATTTTTAAATATTTCAATTTTTTAAATAAATTTTTAAAATATTTCTAATTCTTTGAAAAAAAATTTAGAAAATTTTTTTGAATTTAAAAAAATTTTTCTTTTAATGTTAATATGAAAATTGATGATTTGGTGTTAGTTGAACTACTTGACACATGTTAGCATCTTATTGAATGTTCATGTATGTCAACAAATTAACTAACAACGTTGATCTTAAGTACCAAAGTAAATGACGGAATGAAAGTTTCAATACCAAACTAAAAGTTTTATTTGTTTGGAAACCAAATGACAAAAAACGTATGGTATATGGGCCATTTTTATATTTAATCCTTCTTAAAATTAGATTTGACAAGTTCAAATACAATAGGAAAATAATATGATAAAAAAATAAAAATAATACGGTTTAAAATTTTAATAAAAAGAGTTAATAGCACACATGCTTCTTAAACTTTAGGCTAGATTTTATATTGGTTTCTAATTTTGAAAAGTTCTAATTAAATCCTTAATTGCCTAAACGTGTGTCAATGTGATCTCTCTATCTGCTAAATCATCTAAATTGATGACAATTCTTACATGGCATGACACATATTCTTCCAAACTTTTATTACGTGAAAATTTTTAATGTCCACTAAGCAAATAAAAAAGCAAAAGACACTTTTGCAATGTCTACTAAAAAAATAAACCAGCAAAAAAAAAAATCTTTGCAATTTTTTGGGTTTAATTGAAATTGGTAATTTAGCACATTTGTTATTGCAAAAATGAATACCAAAAAAATAAGAAAAAGTATATTAGTGAGTTGCCTTGGAATTCAGAACCCTCCACGAATAAGTTATCAAAACTTCTTAAACTATATGGAAATCAAATCTATACCCATTTATCCAAATTATATCATAAAATAACTTATTAAAGAAAATCCATTTCTTTTTACATTTCACTAAATAGAATTTAAAGCTAAATCATTCAAATAGAAAAAAAAAAAAGAAAATACCTTTTTTTCTCACAATGAGTAGGCATATTCCATGAGCATCCATAAGAACAATTTCACCCTTATCATGAGGGTCAAGATACTACAAATCGACTAGGAAGACTAATAAAATGGTGAAGCCATCGTTGGTGAAGAAAAGAGAAGTTTTGAAAACAGTGAGATGCCTTTTTTTTT